AAGGAACGCAGTCCTGCGACACCTTGAATTTAGGACTTCTGACCTCCTGAAGTGTAAGATAGTAAATTTGTGTTGTTTTACTCTGTTAATTTGTGCTAATTTTTACAACAGCAATAAGAAATTAGTACAATATATAGACATCTGATAGTTTTCCTGTAAGCCTTAAACCACTTATGTGGAAATAATAGAAGTAAAACCAATTCACAGAATAGTAAGGAAAATTACAAAATACCTAGAAAACTGCCTAAAAATGTGAAAATCTATATGAAGAAAATGATAATGCTTTTCTGAATAGATGAAAAGGTCTGGAACAGTGACATAGACTTTGCTTTCTCAGTATTGTCAAGAGGGCAGTTTTATACAAATCATCTATAAAAGCAGTTCTCTATCAAAGCCCTAATTTTTAAATGAGCTTGTCAGGATGATTCCAAATTAAGTTTGAGAAACTAGCCCAAAAAGTAACATTTGTTATTCTTGATGTCTAAATATATTTTAGTCATCATAATTGAACAGATGTGATGTTGCCACAGCAACAGACCAAGATCAGTGGGATGGGGGCAAGGTTAGAAATGGCGGGGAGGTTGTTTTAGGTGACAGCCAGGGAAACACCCTCTGTGGCATTAACATTTTGGCAGAGACTTTCTCTTGAGAAATAGCAAAAATTGGAGGACAGGATATTCTCGGCCAAGCACAATGAGGGGCAAGCTGGGTGTGTTTTAGGAAGAGCAAGGGACCCACCCCCACTTCCTGTGGGGGAGAGTATGGGAAGGGTAGAGAGAATTATAGAAGCATTAATACCATGGATATAAATTAGCTTTTCTCCATTATCCATCTACTTACTTTCTTCCTGAAGTCTAAGTTTTGCTAAACCCCCTAGGGAAGGAGCTATGAATTTATGAAGTTATGATATCGATCTATGGTTTTAGTCTCTCTGAGTGGCCTATAGAATATGAAGGAGGCTGATTCAAGGCCTAGATTAGGACGTGGGTGCCATCCATGGAGATTGCGCCCTGTCCATTCCCAGCTGGACAGGCCTTCTGCATGCCACTGCATCTGGAGACTCCCCAAGTATAGGTGCCTGCCATTTAGGAATGTGCTTTCCAATCCCAGTATTACCCTCCAGTGATGCTTCTTCTCAGTGTTGTTTCTGGTCTGCTCTGTGTTCATTATTGGATTGGTCTAGTTCACTGAAACTACAGCTTTTCTTTGTCCTCAGCCCTTTGGAATAACGGTTCTCAGCCCAGGCCACACGCTTAAGGGCTTTTGTCAGATGCCATTGCCCAGGCACTGACTGGGAGTTAATTGCCATAGGGTACAAGTGGATGATTTTTATAAGCTCCCAGGTGATCCCGATGTGAAGAAAGATTTGCCCCACTGGTTTAGACAGTGTAAAATCAAGAATTGGTAGGAACCCCACATGTAGACTAGATCACTTCACTAGATTCTCCTTTGTTTTCTGTAAACTGAGGAAGGTGTCGCTTCATGCTGAGTGTTCATCTAGTTGAGAGTGAAGGGGATCTTCATAAATGGGGCGCCTCGGGCTCAGAGGAAATCAGTGGTAGTCTTACTCCAAGGCCTGCGCAAAGCTGAGGGTAATTGGCAGTACACAGTGGTCTCCTCCCCTTTGCTTGATGCCTCCGCTCCCCTCCTGATTTTATGTGGTTGGTCTACCTGGTGTGACCTTGCCCATACTCCTCAGGGGGCACTTCCTGACCCCAGGACTACATTTATAATGTCGTAATGTACAGCCATCATCACTATCTAGTTTCAGACATTTTCATCACCCCAAAGGAAGACCCCATTCTCACTAAGAGTCATTCCTTAATTTCCCCTCCCTCAGCCTCTGGCAACCACTACTTTGTTTTCTGTTTTGCGTATTTTGTATGGATTTGCTTATTTCGACTATGTCATGTAAATAGATAAATAAGAGCACTTCGATAATTAAATCAACTGTGTAAGGTACTTGATTCCAACACATGTAGATTTCTTCAGCCCATGTTAGCTATTATAACTAAAGCATCTAAAAGGGAAATACTGGCACCATTTCTGAACTAAGCCTTGTTCTAATTCCAGTGGATGGTTTCACAAAGTTAAATAGAGATTGACACCAAGCTGTCCATGCAGAATTGGCAGGAGATTATCTTTCCTAGTCTGTAGTTCTGAAAAAAGAGTCTTCGTGGGGGACACTGAAAACCTATATCTAAACCGTTGTCATCTTGTCAATGAAGGGTATAGAAGAAGCTGTTGAGGGGAACGATAAAGAAGAATTCCATGTTTCCATACCCATTCAGTGTAAAAAAGATATTCTTGCAAAGAAATAGATAGTCTCTTTATGGTAATTGGACAGTCCCACTTTCTCCCCTGGTGTCCTAAGTTGTACAAAGGAATGTTCTTAGCTTTCTTCTCTAACCACTCGCCTCCCTTTCTAGACAAATGTTTCTTCTATATCTTTCAAGATATGTAGCTGATCAATAGAGATATCCCAAGTTGATGTACACAAATGCCCTAAAAACGGAGGGAGGTGGTGGCAGAATGACTCTGGAGCCAAGCCCCCCAAATGGATGAGATGACAGTCAGCAGTGACCACCGTGTCCTGGCCCTCAGAATCTCTGGATATGCTCCTTCAGATTTTTGCTAGTCAGCTCAGAGGCACAGACTGTCTTTTCACAAAGTGTTGCATGGTCTGCTGGAAAGTCACAGTTTGTCATCAGTGTAGAGATGAGAATTATAATTAAACTTTTGCCACAAGGAAGAGAGATTGTTGTGACTTTAATATGTCATTTGCTATTTTAAATGACAAATTGATGACTATTTTATATGCCCTACTGTGCATTTAGTGTTAAAAAGACCTTAATGAGGCATTTGACTATTAAGCAACTTGAAAGTGCTTCATGTGAAACCCTCTGGTTAAGATGGGCCCTGGCCAGAACATGATGAAACAATGTGTTCACCATAATCTGGGAATCCCAGATTGTATCAAAGCAACCATTTCAAACTGTCAAATCAGATATGACTTTGTATTCAGAGACACAGGGTCTAGAGCAGGAACCCCAGGAATGCAGGTTTCCCCAGGTCAACCTGGAGCAGTTAAGTTAACGAAGAGCATGCATTGGGAACGTCACCTTGCTTTATTCAGCCTGTCTTTTCAGAGGGTTGTCATTGATGTTGTTATCCTCCAGCTTTTTGTTGTCCATAAAAATTCTCTTCTACAACTTAATTCAGTGTATTGAGAATAGGGTTAGCTAGAAGAGAATTGAGGTAGAACCTAATGATACTATTAACAGTAATAATCAGTGCAAATTAGTGACCCCTCTCCAGGCAGATAACTATCCACTCCCCTTTGTGAAGGAAAACCATCCCTTCATCTTGAAACCCACGGCCTCCTGCCCCCTCAGCTACCTCTTACCGCTCAACGTCTAGGGGCCCTAACCCTTCTTGTGAAACTTAGCCCCAGGGTCCACTAGAAATCCTGTAATTTTCCATCCAGTTAAATAACAGAGACATGCCATCTTGCAATATTTCAACTTCATTTCTTAAAAGAATAAGGACTAAACAGAAATCAAGCCAAAAGATTCAGAAAATGAATATATTTTATAGTCATCTTCAGATTGCGCAATTATCTCTGGAGTCCACCTCCTGGTGATTGTTTGTTTTGTCTTTTTAGCCTTAGTTTCTTTTTTTTTTTTTTAATGTGTTATGGAAGTTTCACATGCATGTTTATCTTGAGAGTAACTTCCCAGCCCCTGACGTACATACACATGCATGCACACATGTGCGCACACACACACCACAGACACACATACCACACACCCACATACACCACACAAACACCATACTCATATTCCATATAAACACCAAACACACCACACACACGTACTACACAACATACACACACCACTCTCCTCCACTGGCTCTTTCACTTCCTCTTGTCCCCCATGGCCTGTATGACCAGCTGAGTGCTTCTGCCCTGGATTGAATTGGGGCCCCACATTGCAGGGCACCATTTCCAGCCCTGCTTGCTCTGTATTCTGCTTTTAGGCCCTGTTTTCCCTGCAGAGTACAAGCCCTGGATGGCTTCTTCCTGCTCCTGACCTGGGTGCAGTGAGACAAAGCTTTCAGCAACTCGCGGCCTCATCATTTTTGTTCTGTTCAGGCCTTCAATTAGCTTATGTTTAGAGATGTCTCTGTGGTGTATGGCAGGAGGAGGATGGACTTTTTTGAGCATGAATTTACATTATAAATTAGTGAGATTGGATTAGATTTAGAGCTTGAAAAGAGAAGTATAGTCAGTCCTCATTATTTGCAGATTCCATATTTGCGATTTCGCCTATTGCCTAAAATGTATTTGTAACCTCAAATCAATACTCATGTACTTTTACGGTCATTCACAGAAACGCCCAGAGCAGGGAAAATTTTGAATTGCCTGCCGTACGTGTTCCCAGCTGAGGCTGAAGGAAGGAATGCTCTGACTAATCATTTTAGCTCATACTGTAAACAGGTGTCCTTTTCATGGTCTGTCACTTCATGTTTTTCACACCTTTGTTGGTGATTTCACTGTTTAAAATGCCCCCAGTAATAGTGCTGAAGTGCTATCTAGTGTTCCTCAGTGAAGAGCTGTGATGCGCTTATGGAGAAAATGGGTGCTAGATAAGTTTCCTTCAGGCATGAGTTGCAGCACTATTGGCTGTGAGCTCAATGCTAGTGAATCAACAATATATATTAAATAAGATCTCTTTAAATAGAAACACGTAAAACAAGACTGTGTAGTAGGTTGATGTAAACACTGTGACCAGAGGCTAAGCCACAGTAGTGGTTTCACATTCCTTAATTCAGTGTTCTTGGCAACATTCTAGAACACAATTACCGCCAGTAATGAGAGTGTACTGTATGTGTGTGAAAGAAATTGAAGCCTTCCCCAGGCAGCTCCTAGAAGGAGCCCAGGCAGCCCTGCCCTCCAGCCCTCACTGAAGTTTGCTCTTTTGTGACACTCTCCTTTGCAGGTTACTTTCTGAACTTTCTGGAGCCAGTGAACAATATCACCATAGTCCAAGGCCAGACCGCAATTCTGCACTGCAAGGTGGCCGGCAACCCGCCCCCAAGTGTGCGATGGCTGAAGAATGATGCCCCAGTCGTGCAGGAGCCCCGGCGTGTCATCATCCGGAAGACAGAGTATGGCTCTCGGCTACGAATCCAAGACCTGGACACAACGGACACTGGCTACTACCAGTGCGTGGCCACCAACGGGGTGAAGACCATTACCGCCACAGGTGTCCTGTTCGTGCGGCTTGGTAAGTGGCAACAGTGTGGGCCTGCTAGTTTGCAGCTAGGGAGCATCACAGCCACCATGTGCAAGATTAATTTGCAGTTTGAAACTGAGCATGCACACACCAGCAGAGAGGAAATCAATAAAGCCTTTCCCCAGGGCCTTTCCCCTTGTGCATGTTCTCGGCTTAACCTGCTCCCTATTCACTGGTAATAAAAGAAAAGGGACACAGATGGAGGGTCTAAACCTGGATGTAGAACATGATACTCGAAGCTGAGCTTCGAGACTTAGTGGGCAGGCCATGTGTCACAAGGTCACCCTGTGGGGAGGCTGCCACTCACAGCCCTGGAGGTCTCCCCTCCCCCAAGAGGTCCAGCACCTACCACCCAACAGAAACCTGGCCCAGTGTGATGATGACAGTTCTGTTCACAGGTGGCGACAGAGTTAAATGGCTAGAAGTGTATCCCCTTTCATCTCAGTTGTGAGAAGGTCTCTGCAATGCCCCAGCCTGTCACACAAATGGCAGACCATTCTGTCACTGATTAGTAGAATAGATCTCGTGAATCGAGATCAGATCGGGGAGAGGGATAACAAAAACTCCAAAAATACATCCAAACATTTCTGCATAAACAGAGTGCCCCTCCGTGCTTCACGGTTTTCCTATTCCTGAGCAGGGCAGAGCCTGGCGGAGGACAGCTCACCACAAATGAGCACCGTTGGCTACAGCTACCATTGGCTGGATTGGAAAAAGTTTGACTCCAAATCACAAAGTATTAATAACGTGTCCTTCTCTTTTCTTTTTAGGTCCAACACACAGCCCAAATCATAACTTTCAGTAAGTATCTGTTTTCCTCAAACCATTTTCTCATTCTCTGAGGGTTTCCGTTATGTAAGAATCCAGGTTTTAAATCCAGCAAGCACATGTCTTTGCCAAATTTGCTGGAAGTTCACACAAGGCTGGACTTCACACAAGGATGGCAATGTGCTTGATTTGGACTGGAAAACAATTGTATTTTTCAGTTTAATGTTAGGGAAGATGTCATGAAAACAGAAATTGCTAGTTTCTTCTGTGATCATGACCTTCCAGAGTAGGAATATCAGCATGCATACCAGGTTGCCCAGGGCCACTGGGACCCGGTATCCAAAAACATTTGGAACGAGAGAGGCAGTTTTTCCTGAAATCCCAGCACAATCCACAATTGTAGGTGTGGTCTCAAACCTTCTTCGGTGATGAAGATGAGGAGTCAAAGGTTCGGAGCCTGGCTCAAGGACTTTATTGAGCTGTGAACAGTTCCTGCTGTGAACTCAGGTCTCTTTCCTGATACAGCGCCTTTCACCACAGCCGTCCGTTGTTGGAAGATTCCGCTTTGGACCTCTTATGTCAGCATGTGCCTGAGAATCACTCTTTAGAGCCTGTGTTTGAGGCTAGCAGTGGCAGTTGGAGTCCTCATTTCCTACCCAGACATATCGGAGAGCCATAGCTTCCTGCTGTGAACTTCCAAATGTTCTGAGCAGTGACGCACACACTGTGTGTTGCCTAGTTGAGCAGTGTTTGCACATCCATGTCTCCCGGTGCCTCATAAACACTGGGCCACTGAGACGTGGTGGGTGGGCTGGGGTCCTCTGAGCACATATCAGGCGCTGCTTACACAAGGCCGATTTGTGAGAATCCTTAATAATTATTCAAGTGAGGAAGGAAGAAATTGCATCAAGGAAATGTCTGCAAGACTTTGGAAAACGGTATAAATCATTTCAAACACTGAATTATTATTTTCTTTTACATTTAGATCATAATTTATATAAATATATGGCAAACATTATACTTTATAATATGGAATCCGCAAATAATGAGGACTGACTATACTCTTTTCAAGCTCTAAATCTAATCTAGTCTCATTAATTTATGATGTAAATTCATGCTCAGAAAAAGTCCATCCTCCTCCTGCCATACACTACAGAGACATCCCCAAACATAAACTAATCGAAGGCCCGAACAGAACAAAAATGACGAGGCTGAGAGTTGCTGAAAGCTCTGTCCCACTGCACCCAGGTCAGGAGCAGGAAGAAGCCATTCAGGGCTCGTATATAATATCATATATATAAATATGATTATAATGTAATTTGTTAAATATGTAAGTAACAAATATATTTACATATTTAAATTTCATTTTTAAAAACAATATTTTTACACTTATTTTCTTCTCATTTTTAATTATGGATTAAATCAACACATTCTTGCAAATAATTTGGACAGTTCTGGTAAAGTGAAAGTTCACCCTGACCCGTCCCTCTGACCTTTGCCCCAGGATGGCCTCCATTGTCACATAGGTATGCCAAAACAGGGCCTTTCTCAGCATTTAGTACCTGTGTGTACCTAGAGAGATAGAGTATTTCACTTTTATCTACTTTTTTACATAAATGATATTATATTTGATGTTTAACTAACAGTGTGTCAGTATATTTCAAATTTCCCTGATAATCTTTCTTCCTGTCCACAGAGTGCATGACTTTTCCTGCAGTGGCAGGAATTTCCATTGCTTCCACACCCACAGTGGTTTCCCTGTTTGTGTCCCAAGACTGGTGGACAGTTTCTCTAGGGGGGATTCTGAAGAGTAGGGCAAAAAGTGGCACAGGATGTACCCACCTGTTTATAAAGTGGACATGCACTTGGCATGCACAGGTCGCTCCCTCCCACCCATTAAGAGGACTCGTTTCTCCTTGCCTCTAACCTGATTTCTAAATCTTCACTTTTGCTGCTCGGAAGGAGGAAAACTGGTGTCGTCTGCTTTGTTCTCCCTCCCCATCACTGCTGAGGCCTGCTGGAGGATAGGTGTTTCCTGGCACTCATACTTCTTTGTCAACCATCTCTTCATGACCCTTGCCCATCGCCCTTACATTGTTTCTTAATGATTTTTCATAAGTATTTGTCTTATTTCTTGATCACACAGAAATTTAAGTTTTTCTGTCATGTATCAATAATTATATAGGTTTTCATGGGTCTTATTAAAGAGTACCCTAACTTCCCTGAAAATTCATAATGGTATTTTGATTGGAATTATAATGAATTTTTAGATAAATTTGGGGAAAATTAATATCTAAATTGAATTGTCCTGTCAAGAACCTTCTTCATGCTTTAAGATATCCTTTTCTCCCTAACATTCATTGTGAAAAATTTAAACACATGGAAAAGTAGAAATAGTTTTATAGTAATATGCAATCCATATACCTACCAACTAGATCCTACCATTTACATTATACTGTGCTAGCTTTATTGCCTATCTTTCCATCCATCAATCCATCTTATTTTTTTTTTTACTCATTTTACATGTTGTATATATCTGTACACTTATCCTGAAATTTTTCAGCGTGGGAATCATTAACAAGATTGCTTTTTTTTGAGTTAAAACTTATGTACAATGAAATGCACAAATCTTAAGTATGTCATTAATAAAGTGCAACAAATGCAAAAACCTCTGCAATCCAAACTGCTATTCAAGCATAGAACATCCTGTCACTGGCGAAAGAAAGTTCTATCATGTAACTTCCTAGTCAACTCCCCTCCTTCTCCAGGCAACCACTGTTCTGATTTTTTCCTACTGTGGACCTGTTTTACGTGTTTCAGAGCTTCATAGAAATGTAATCCTGCAGCACGTAGCCAATTAAGCCCAGCTTCCTTCACTTAGCATTGTATTAAAGATAGATCCATGTTGTACATGTATCAGTAGGCTGCTACTTTTTGTTGTTGAATGGTGTTCCATGCTATGACAGTGCCAGTCAGTTTATCCATTTTCCTTTTGATGGACACGTGAGCAGATTGCATCTTTTGACTCTTACAAATAAGCTGTGATGGATATTCTCACACAAGTTTTCTGTGGGCAAGTTTATTTTCATTTCTGTTAGGTAAATACCTAGGAGTAGAATTTCCGGCTTATAGGGTATATATATGCTGAGTTTTGTAAGAAATACCAGACCTTTTCCTGAGGTGGCTGTACCACTCACTTTGCGCTCACACCAGAGGTAGGAGAGTTCTGGTCCCTGCATGTATTCACCAGCATATGGTCTGGTCAGTCATTTTAAGTTGAGCTATTCTGGTGGGTATTATTAATGGAATATTTAAGACTTGTGCATTTCATTATATGCAAATTTTAACTCAAATGATCTTCACGTCATTTTCACATCTTAAAAAAGTAATTTTTATTAGTCATTCAAAATTTTCAAGCAAATGCAACTTAAAGCTATAAAGTTTCCTCTGAACGCCATTTTGGCTCCATTTTTCCCGCTCCTGCCCTCAAACACATGGGTTTTTGTTTTTTGTTATTTTCTGATTTTTGTTGCATTTATTATCAGTGAATGTGGGATGTATTTACTTTTGGTAATTTGTTAAGATTTTCTTTGTGACCAATTAGATATGGTTAATTTTTGTGACTATTTCCTGTTATTTCAAAAAATATGTGCGCTCTGATGGTGGCCACACATATCTCAATTTATATATAGATCACATGTTAAGTATGTTATAAAAAAAAAGTCTATATATTTTTTTGTCCACATGGGTTACAGATATCTGAAAATTTGTGAAAGTCATCTATACTCATTCTGAGTTTACAATTTCTATAAATTTTTTATTTATTAAATTCGTGTGTACTTAAATACCTATAGGTTTGAGGCAATATAGCTTATGTTTAGTTTTGTTTTAAGTCTCTTTTAATGCTTTTCACCTTGAGTTCAGTTGCCAAATAATATTGTTGCACCTACTTTCTTTTTGTTTGCTATTCCTGTCCCACTTTTTTTTTCAACCTTTTTATGTTCCATTTTATGTAGGTCTCTTGTCTCTTGTAAATAGCGTATAAGTTCCTTTTTTTTTTTTTTGGAGATTGGTGAGGACGGTTTTTCAGTCTGAAAGTTCATGTTAATACATGTAGGTTTTGTTCATTTTAACGATTATACAGCATTCCATTCAATGAGTCAGTTCCACTTTAATCATGCATGTT